ATGAATGTCAGAAGATACGCCGGAAATAATGTCAGAAAGAAGTCAGACGAACGCATGTCAGAAGATATGCCAGAAAGAATGTCAGAAGATACGCCAGATACAATGCCAAAATAATGCTTCAATACATGCAAAAAGCTTGTCAGACTGAAATGTCATGGTTGGGATGACTCGAAGTAACGTAACTTTTCATGTTCTTGAACCTATAATCGCAAATCCTGTTTTTGATGACGATCTCTAGACACCATTCCAACTATCTAACACCGAGAATCAACAAACCGGATTCGTCAGAAGGCTTGAAGTCTTGCACAGCTGCGGCTGATCATGACGGAGACAGCATGAAGACATGCATGGGAATATTTCATATGTTGAGGCTTTGTTGAGCTACAGTCAAGACATGCGAAGACCCCTTTAGTTAAGAGGGGTAGGTTTGTGCACAAAACCCTGTAAAACAATAAGGTCCACCTCAAAGCCGATGACACCGGCGCTGCATATGATCACAAGTATGCGGCGACCTCACAACACTGTCACACGAGAAGGAAGGTCCAATTCAAAACCGATAACTGTTTATTTTTAGTTTGGTACTCGCGAGTAAAAGCTGCTTAAGACCAAGGGCTTTGTGGGCAGCCACACATGACTCTTCTACAAATGCCCTATACATATATACCTGTATTGCGGGCAGATGCGCGGCCAGCAGGGCCATCATTTCAACTGTTGCACTTTTTGTTGCTTCACTCGGCGCCGGGCAAGGTGTCCACTTCACTAATCCACAGCGTGAAACAGTGCAACTGGACATCACTTTGGTGGTCCTCGCGTAGCGCAGTCAGCTGGGCGCTAGCTGCGGGTAGCATGGGAAGATGCATAGCTCAGCGTTTAGAATTACAAAAATCCGTGAAACTGACGGGAACTGCTTGTTTCAGACTTTGCCCCTGCTAAGATTGCCGGGAGCATTGGACCCAACCTCCACCTGTACCAGTCGAACCCTCACTTAGATGCTTGGCGACTTGTTAGGGCGGACGCGCGGCGATGGCAGCAACAGTTCACTCCAGGAGTTTGAAGTGGCTTGCCACCAGAGGTCAACAAGACAGTGCGGCGCTAGGTTAAAATGTTTTTGCCACATATGAGACAACAACCCGCATATATTTGTCTATGGTCAATTGAATTTAGATGGCCGTGGCCAGCCACAGCACCTGTGCAATTCGTGGCGCAAGGTGGGTGCATTGTTTTGTGTGTTGTTTTTCAATGTTAGTTTTTTGGATGTTTTGGGGCCATCCTTACATCCTTTAGAGCTTTGCTTAGAGATGTAGATAATGAAGGCCAAACCCCTTCCA